ATGTTTCCAAGTTCTGTGCCGCCAAAAGTAGTTTTAATTTTTTCAGCAGTAGTTTTAATTTTTTCAACCGCGAAAACGTTTACTTGACTTTCATCGCTGACGGCTTTATAAAATGCTGTTGCGTCATTATTCAGAGCTTCTTTCAAATTCAAAATTTTTTGTGTTGCTAATCTTTTTATGGTTGCTCCTATACCATCGCATGGTCCTTTACCATGAGAGGTTGCAAAGTAATTCCAGCAATTTTTAATTTTGTGCTTGCTTTCAAGCCATGTAATTGAAACTACTATGAAACAGTTTTTAAATTGACTGCTAGGATCATCAAACCAAACTTACAAGTACTTTACATCCTTTCTAATAAGGTGAGCTATTAACAAGTCAATAAAATAAATAACTGAATTTCTTAAATTGTTCAAATCATCAGAAATAATAACAGCAGATTTACAAGAGTCACTATGCCAGCTAACAGCAGTAAATAATGTTACTAATTTTTTGTTCCAATGTGCTGACTGAACTACATCCTGCCAGAAAGTTGAGAAGTTTTCTGCAAAGTCAACTTGTAACAAAACTGAATCAAGGTTGCTTTTTAAAACTTTTTTTTGGTTTTCATAACTCATTAATTGTTTTCCAGTTATAAAATAATGCAAAAGAAGTTTGTGAAGCATTTTGCAAACATTGTTATAGAAAATTATGGCTTTGTCATTTTTTATTGTTTTTTCGAGGTACTTTACTAGGTTCCATTAAGTTGCGTAACTTTCTCCCAAAGGTACCAGGTAATTTCTTTATCGTGTTTTTTTCATCTAATTGCACAGTGGGCCAGAATGTTTTTTCCGTGGCCAAAATTACCAAAATAGTCAAATCTTTTAAATTTTTATTTTTATTTTATTATTGAAACAAAAGTGCTTTACTCCACTCAAAAATGTATCCGACTAACTACTAGAGATGAAGGCAAGCGTGCTAGAACCATTCATAATGGCTTTAAAATTGTCAAATTTTTGCAAATTTTTCTTTTTCAAAAATACTTATCCTCAAAATTTACATATTTTTTTTCAATTAAAAAAGCTTTGAACTATTTTTATTTTAAATAAGCATATTAACTTAGTGCTTATAAAAAGTATATGTTTTAGTTATATATTTGTATTCAATTTATTCATAATATGTCTTAAAATTGTAGGTATTTTAGAGGTGTTTTTCTAAATTTCCTCATCTTCCTTTTTCTAAATGACACTCGAAGATCGTTTAATTTTCTGATTTTTGCATTTACTAAACGGCAGTTATTGTTCAAAAAAAAAAAAAACACAGCTGCGAACATGTATTCTTTATGATATATTTTTTAGTTCAAAATCGACGACTTTTTTTTGCTTTTTTAAAAAGACCGATTTAAAGTTAAGGTATTTGTTTAAGGAATATAGTTTTTTTTTTTTTTTTTTTAAATTTTATTAAACACATCGAACCGTTATTATTTAAAATGAATTTTATTTTATTATTTTAATATTTTCAAAAAAGGAAAAAAAAGAAAATCATTTCACTATAAATGCGTAAAAATTGAATATTTAATATACTCGATTCTAACCAAATGTCGCTCTCTTGAAATTGGAATTAATGATATTTAGGAAGTATAACGGTTGTTTAATACTATTTAAAAAAATCAGCTGCGACTAGCTATAACTTAGACTTAAAATCGATTTTGAAATTTCAAGATTTTAGACTAATTTCATTTTTACTTTACAATGCATTGTGACATGAAAAAGTTTATTTTTCTGAAAATTTGAAGTTTATATGATATTATATGTTTATATAAAGACTAGTTAGTTGATAATTGCAGTGATTTGATTGCATTTATGTTCCGAAAGTAATAAAAATATTTGAATAAATTCCACTAAATTATAGATATTTAAATTTTCTCTTGAAGTAGCATTATTAAAACTCTTATCTTATAAATAATCAAGTTATCTTTTAAAAATGTTTAATAACACAACTCGGCTTTAAGTATTTGAAAAAATTAAACACTTTATTTCATCACAACTTACTTCAAGACAAATCGTAGATCAGTGTAAAAGTATGCTCATAAACGAATTAAACGTATCTATCAATTTAAATGATGATTTTACTTGTTTTGAAAAAGCTCTTCTCAAATTTGTATGCAAATGCCGATCAAAATTTAGCAAAAAATATTTTCGAAATAAGTGCAAATTTTTAAGTGGCGAAACATTTTAGCTTAATAATAAAATTTTGTCTAATAACCAACCTAGCGAACAATCATTACAAACCATCGATTTAAATGTTTCTTGTTTAAATGAACAGTCATTTGGAAGACCATGTCAGAAATACGAAGATATGTCCTACCGAAATAAACGTCGGCACGCATCCATATTGTTAGTAAATTATGGTCATGATAAAATCTTACAAGCAGCAGAAATAGGGTTAAAAAAAAAGCGATATAGTTTGCTGTATGAATTAAAAGAATGTTTATCAAATACAGATTCGGCAAATCAAACAAAATGTTTTATTCTCGATCAAAACAAGAAAATTGTACCTAATACGCCACTAGAAGGATTAGCATTAATAACAGCTATGAATTTATCGAAGACGCAATATCAATTTATGCGAAATAACTCAATTAAGTGTAATGCAAATATATATCCTACATATAACAACATTCGCGACGAAAAAAAAGTGTTATCCTGATGGTATTTATATAACTGAAAATGGAATGAAAGGCGAATAATCAATAAAAAACTTGAATAAAGCTCTGTTCCGTTCAACAGATTCACAAAACTTAGAGTTTAGGTTATTGTCATTACATACATGGATTTGATGTTTGGAGTGTACTCTACATATAAGTTATAGACTTGATATTAAAGGAAGGCAAATACGTGGACCTGAAAATATAAAATTAGCAGCAGTAAAAAAAGTGTTTGTTCAGCGTGAGTTTGCAAAAATTGGCCTTATTGTTGACATGCCTTTTCAAGGCGGATCTGCGACATCAAATGATGGCAATACTGCTCGTAAAGCAAGCAGAGTTTTCGCGAATAACAGGAGTCAAGAATGATTTAATATACAGGCTATACATTATTCTATCTGTCATTAATTTGAATAAAAAAATTAAATTATAAAACATTCTTTGGTTTTTCATGTCAGTCTCAGTACACAAACTACTCATTCAAAGTAGTATGAAAATATCTAGATTTATGCTACCAATTGGAATGTACTCTGAAGAAGCAATTAAAGCTCAAGATAAAGATAATAAAAATATTTGTTTACAACACACTCTTAAATTTGATCGAAAAGCAATGACGGACCAATTCAATTATTTAATGCTTTCGAGTGACCCAATTCTTCATCTCTAAACTATGCAAGATCAAAATGTAAACATAAAAAAATGAATCTAGATGGAGACGCAGTAAATCTTATTTTTCAAGAAACTGAAAAGAAAAATACAAATGATGCTAATGACGTTATTTATGCGGATGAATAATATAATGAGTTGGATTAGATGATGATTTTGATGATAGAAATGAGGAACTAAAGCCAATAAATATAAATGAAATAAGAAATTTAAATGAACACAATGATATTATCGAATCATTTGAAAATGAAAACACTGATTTGCCATTTTATTACTATGCTGACTTTGAATACACCGACTAAGATTTTATTTATATTATTTTTACCATTTGATTTATGCGAAATTATTATGTGCGCTAATTTTTGAAATACTTATAAAATTATAACCTTGAGCAATAAAAAATAAATTCTAAGTTTTAAATGATTATTTAATATTACCAATATAAAATATAGTTAATGTAGTTCACTAAAAGTCTATATAAAGGATGTTAATGACTAATAGTTTAAATATTTTTTAACCCTTACAGTATATGCAAGTGTCTAACTTCACTTTTCTTACAGTGTCTACATTAATTTTTTATGCTTAAGGCTTTTTAAAGTTTTTAACGTTACAATTTTTTAATCAAATCGTTGCAATTATTAACTAATTAGTCTTCAATATCATATAAACTTCGGATTTTCAGACAAAATAATTTTTTCACGTCACAATGCATTGTAAAGTAAAAATGAAATTAGTCTAAAATCTTGAAATTTCAAAATCGATTTTAAATCTAAGTTATAGCTAGTCGCAGCTGATTTTTTTAAATAGTATTAAACAACCGTTATGCTTCCTAAATATCATTAATTCCAATTTCAAGAGAGCGACATTTGGTTAGAATCGAGTATATTAAATATTCAATTTTTACGCATTTATAGTGAAATGATTTTCTTTTTTTTCCTTTTTTGAAAATATTAAAATAATAAAATAAAATTTATTTTAAATAATAACGGTTCGATGTGTTTAACAAAATTAAAAAAAAACAAAAAACTATATTCCTTAAACAAATACCTTAACTTTAAATGGGTCTTTTTATAAAAGCAAAAAAAGTCGTCGATTTTGAACTAAAAAATATATCATAAAGAATACATGTTCGCAGCTGTGTTTTTTTTTTTAACAATAACTGTCGTTTAGTAAATGCAAAAATCAGAAAATTTAACGATCTTCGAGTGGCATTTAGAAAAAGGAAGATGAGGAAATTTAGAAAAACACCTCTAAAATACCTACAATTTTAAGACATATTATAAATAAATTGAATACAACTATATAACTAAAACATATACTTTTTATAAGCATTAAGTTAATATGTTTATTTAAAATAAAAATAGTCCAAAGCTTTTTTAATTGAAAAACGTTTTGTTAATTTTGAGGATAAGTATTTTTGAAAAAGAAAAATTTGCGAAAATTTGACAATTTTAAAGCCATTATTGGCCATTATTATTGGCCACGGAAAAAACATTCTGGCCCACTGTGAATTGGTATGTTTTGAGAAATAACTTTCCGTCCTTACAAGCTTTGCAAAGATTATCCAACAATTATCATTTTTCTTGTCACACACTAAAGTATTAAGTAGAGGAGAGCGGGGCTAAAAGTCATAAGGGTTAGTTGTCATAGTCGCTATTTCGGAATTTTATAGCTGGATTGATGCTGCGATTTTTTTTTATTGTATAAATGGTGCTGAAAGATGACTGCTCAGTTGATATCATGAAATTCGTGCGAATAGTTTTTCTACAAATCCAAAAAAAGTAAAAATTTCGTTGGTAAGTAACTTTTTAACTTTTTTGTTCAAATGTTCAATACAGTAACAATATGCAATATTTGTGTTTAATACATTAAAATGTTTATAGTTTTGGAAATTCTTTTTTGGTGTGCTAGTCATTTTTCAGATTCACGGCAATGATAAAAAGTTATTTAGGTCAAACCTTCCTCTACCCCCTGTGGGGCAAGTTGTCCTATTTTAAAGGAGGCAAGTTGTCATATAAGAAAAATTGCCTCCATACTTTCATATAGTTATAAGTCTTAATTGAATGTTAATAATACATACAATGCTTATTATAAGTAATAAACATCAATTAAATGAATTAGGCATAATATTTAAGATTAATAATGAGCCTTAGTAAACATTAATAAATTGATAGTGGTAGTTATAGACATTAGGAAGTTATAAAGTTTTGCTTACTTGGACTTTTATCCTAACATTTTTTTTTTTTTTTTTTTGCTTTATCGGATTTTAAATCATGGTTCGCAATTATCAAAGGAAAACCAGTAGAGGTACCACTGCTAAATGCACAATTCTTGAAGCAGTGAATGCTGTAAAGTTACGTGGCAGAAGCATAGCCCAGGTGTCTCTAGATTTCAACATCAACTATAGAAGCCTACAACGCTATTTGTCAAAAGCCTCTACAGAAGATCTTCAAGAAAACTCGACAATACCTTCATTTCACACTGGCTACGTACAACCTAGGTTTGTAGATTGTTAATATGTTTAAGGATTATAATATTTGTTATTATAAGTGACTCCATAAAATAAGTATTTATACTGGTATATATTTTATATTATTTCAGGCAAGTGTTGACACAGAAGCTTGGCCTTACATCAAAAGATGTTAGGAAACTAGCATATCAATTAGCAGATGCTAATAAATTGGCTATGCCAAAATCAAGGATGGAAAATCATTGTGCTGGGAGAGATTGGTTTATGTCTTTCCTACAAAAAAATCCATTATTGTCTTTAAGAGTTCCAGAGGCCACAAGCATTGCACGTGCCATAAGTTTCAACAAACACAATGTTGAAATGTTTTTCAATAATCTTCAGGTGTGTTTTCAACGTCACTAATTCACACCAGCAGATATTTGGAACATGGACAAAACAGGGGTAACTAAAGTTCAAAAACCTGATAAAGTGATCTCAAGAAAGGGCCAAAAGCAAGTTGGGGCAATAACCTCAGCAGAAAGAGGTGCTTTAGTTACCTTGGTATGTGCTGCATCTGCTATTGGTAACAGTATTCCACCTTTTTTCGTATTTCCGAGAGTCAATTTTAGGGACCACTTTTTAACTTCTGCACCACCTGGCAGTGATGGAGACACAAATCCATCTGGTTAGATGAAGGAAGACACTTTTTGTAAATTTATTACTCATTTTGTAAAAAATGCACGGCCTTCAAAGGAGCACCCAGTTTTGCTACTGGTTGACAATCACTTTTCGCACTTGTCATTGAATGCACTAGATTATGCGACAGCAAATGGAATTATTATGTTACGTTTTCCACCCCATTGCACCCACAAGTTGCAGCCACTAGATAGAACAGTCTATGGCCCTTTTAAAAAGGCTGTAAATACAGCCATCAACAGTTCGATGGTCAGTAACCCTGGAAAGGGTATGACAATTTACAATATTCCAGAGATAGTGAAGGTTGCCTTTCCTTTGAGCATGACACCAAATAACATACTGAGCGGATTTTCTTCCTGTGGCATCCACCCATTTAACCCTCAAATATTTACAGATTTGGACTTTGCTCCAAGTTCAGTAACAGAAATGCCTATGCCAGTCAAAATTAATCCTCAATTAACAATGCCTCAAGCTTCAGAGGTTACAGTCTCACCAGAACAATCCACTTGTGCTTCAACTTCAAGTTTGAGTTTGTCATCACAGGAGCATTCAACATTTCAAGCCAAATCAATTTCTGAATGCTTTGAGCTTGCATCTCCAGATAAAGTAAAGCCATTACCAAAAGTACTAGAAAGAAAGCCTTCTAAAAACACACGCAAAAAGAGAACTTCGTCTTTTTTGACTGATTCCCCTTTCAAAAATTCTATGAGATCAGCACAGCCACTGCCAAAAAATGCAAAAGTTCTGCTAAGGGAAAGGGAAAAGGCAAAGCAACAAAAAAGCATACACAAGACTCATCATCATCAGAAGAAGATGAAACCTACTGTATTATTTGCATGAATACTTGGGCTAATCGCAGAGATGCTGAAAAATGGATCAAATGCTGTGTGTGCTCAAGCTGGGCAAATGTACAGCAGGAGGGTCCAGCTACATTTGCCATAACTGTGACTCTGATAATGATTATTAATGGTCATTTTCAAAGTGTTTTAGAGTATAAATTATAATATAATTTTTATGTTATTTTTAATAATTTATAAATGATTAATATAATACTTGTTTTATATTTGAAAATATTTTTTTTTACCTTTTAGACCTACACTTGTGATAAAATATAATTATGACAACTTGCCCCTCTTATCATGACAACTTGCCCCGACGGTGGGGCAAGTTGCCTTCTTTAGAAATGGTGGCATGTTATACTCAAATGGTCTGAAGCTTTCCAAAGTTGTTTTTTAAATAACTATGATGATAAACCACCATATAAAACAGATTTTATGAAAATTGACCAATTGGTTTTTGAAATATCTTAAAAAATATAAAAAGTATGACAAGGTGCCCCGCTCTCCCCTAAAGCATGCGAATAAAGGGAAATTTTTTAATCAATGAAATGTAATGCTTAGAGTGGCAAGATAATGTTTTCATGTTTTTGACATAAACAAACATTTATAGGCATTAAGCTCGATAAAAGTATATGGCCTAGTCTCAAACTAGCTAACTTGGGTTTACTGATTGAAAAATCAGTGTGTTCGTTTTTTAAATATTTGAAATGATTCACTTATATTCATTGTTAAATACCTTTTTTGCATTTTTTATTTTTTTACTTTTTCTTAAAACAATCGCATCTCTTACTCCAGGTGCCTGACGGGATATACCATCTTGTTCAAAAAAACTAATGACACATAGTTTTGTTTCATTTTTAAGAGCATTTGGTCCATGTGTAAACATAAACATTTAGAATAACTTCAGCAATGGCGCGACAAAATTTAAGAGAAGCTAAATAACAAAGGTGTTAATTAAAATAAGTCTACATATTTACAGGTACATCTACAACTTTAATAAAAAAAACAATGTTAGTTATATTAAAAGAGGTTTCAAATCTAATTGACAAATAAAAAACAATAAAAATTCTACAAATGTTAAAGATATTGGCTTTCAAATCAAAATAAACATATATTTAAAAACTGTAAACCTTCTTGGGGTCACATTTAACCTCTCTAAAAATTCATATAAGCGTTTCAAATAGCCAAACAAAGAATTATTGTATATTAATATTAACTCAAATCATCCACCACAAATTCTAAAACAAATCACGATTTCAATTAATAACAGGTTAAACCAAAACTCCTCTAATGAAAATGTATTTAATTCCTCCAAACGAATGTTTGAAGATGCCCTTAAAAAAAGTGGTTTTTAAATTTTGAACTAAATTTTGACCCTGAAAAAAAGAATACAAAAAAATGAAATAGAAATAGATATGTAATTTGGTTCAACCCCCCATATAGCAAAAATGTTTCTACTAACATAGAAAAAGTGTTTTTAAAATTAGTCGATAAGGATTTCCCTCCCTCTAATAAATTATATAAAATTTTTAATCGAAATACATTTAAACTTAGCTACAGTTGCACAAAAAATCTGGAAAGAATTATAAAAAGTTACAATAATGCTTTGTTAAATAAAAAAGAAATCCAAAATAAAAAAACTACAGTAAATTGTAATTGTAAACAAAAAAACAATTGTTTAATGAGTGGAAGTTGTTTATCAAAAAATGTGGTATATAAATGTATTGTTTCTTCTAAGAATGTACCCCATAAACAATATATTGGCATAACAGATGGTGAATGGAAAAAACGTTTTGCCAATCAAGCAATCTTTTAAAAATAAAAAAATTTTCAAAAGACAACATGCTGTTAAAATATATATAGGAATTAAAAGATAAAAACATTGATGATTTTATACTGAATTGGTCCATCCTTAAAACAGCACCTGCATACAACAATATTTCCAAAAAATGCATACTATGTCTACAAGAACAATTTCAAATAATTACACATGCAAACCAAGAATATTTGTTAAACAAAAACTCAGAATTGATTTCTAAATGCAGGCGCGAAAATATGTTTCTCCTAAAAAACTATAAAAACAAGTGAGCTCAAATAATAGTTACATTAAATCCCCCCTTTTTTTAAAATATTTTATAAAAAAAGCATAAGTAATCATTTCTAAAGAATTCTTTTTATAATAGTGTCAGCAAATTCCATAAATGTGTGAAAATTTACAGTAGTTAAAACATTTGCGACTTCCTGTAATTTAATTTTTTGGTATAAATTGAAGTTTTATTAATTTGATCATTCATTTCTAATGAGTCTTTGTTGATAAAACACAATGTAAAATGAAAATATATATATATATATATATATATATATATATATATATATAATTTTTTTGAAAATTCATATATATATATATATATATATATATATATGAATTTTCAAAAAAATTGAAAATTCATATATATATATATATATATATATATATATATATGAATCTTTTTTTTTTGAAACTTAAATCACTTTTCCAATTCAATTCGAAATTTTGAAGATTCACAGAGCCCTAGTGTGTGTATGTATGTATATTTACTTATATATATATATATAAACACATACACACGTACACACACAATCGCACACATAGAAACACACATAAATAAATTTGATGACAATAAAGTGAAGAAAACAATGAAAGACAATATAAAATATTTATATTTATTTATTATTATATTTATTATTATTATATCTATTAATTTACTTTCTATAACTTGACGAAATTTAAGAGTTCGGAAAGACTTTTTTTCAAGATCGCCCTGTCCCATTCAATTATATTGTTGCTTCGCCTTTTGCTGCTACTCCTTTCACCTTAAAATTATTTGTTACCACTAATAAAACAAATTAGTTCACTTTTTTTTATTAAAATTAGTTATAATTCATAAAATGTTTTGAAATAGACTACAAATAAGTAGTCAAAATATCTTAATCACAGAGGTGATTATGATCACTTTTTCCAATCTCGCTCTATTTTTTATTTAATACAGAGACAAGTCTCTGCAAACAAGACTTTTTTAATTCTTGATGTTCATTAAAATCTTGTGAGTCACTGTCATAATTTTCATCAGGATACTTCTGTACTTTAAACGCAGTCTTATATTAAAACATAATTTATAGAAATTCTTATGGTATTTTATAAACACCTTAGAGTATACATTAAAATGTATACATGAAATACAAAATAATACCTTAAGATATTACGATGTTCAGTAAAAATAATTTTATGGCTAAATAAAAAAAAAAGCTTAACGGAGTTAATAAGTGTATACTTTAGTCAACAAATAATAAATAACACTTAGTGAAGTACTTGTTTTACTCAAAGTCAAATTAAAAATAAAAAAATTATAAAGAAATATAATTAAGGTTAAATAAATATATAGAACAAAGGAAAATGAACGTGGGGGATGATGACGATGATGATGATGATGAGATCATATAGCATAAAAAAATACATATATATATATAATGAATTTTATTTAAATACATAAAAAACACAAACTTAAATAAAATTTTAGGATGCATTAACATTTAAGCAGCTCTGGTCATAGATCAGCAAATTAAATCAGTGAATACTTGTGTGATATTATGCTGAGAAGATCATAATGTTAAATTACCCTCTAGTTCATCTATTACAATATTCTTATAACTTTTATCTAAATCGTTATCAGATAACGCTTTAAACTCACTAATTTCATTATCAATTTGATAAGAAATATTGAGGTTATTATCCAGAGCAGTGGTATTGGAAGGTTCATTATCTGTAGTGTTCAACCCTTTTTACAATTGCTTTAAACGACTGTTTTGGGCAAAGCGTCAATAGGCTGAAGAAAATAAAACCCAGTTTTGCCTATGTAATCATAGCTATAGGCTCCATCAATAACAATTTCCCCTTGATTCATTTAGGACAAATAAATAAAATTTAAAATAAAATAATTTTAACTTCTCGATTTTTTTTTCTTTTAGTCCAATAGCTTATAACTGAAACCAAGATTACTAAATGTGATATAATGAAAATTATACACTTGGATGAAAACATAAACATATTTTTCTCTCCGTAAAATTTGCATTTACATTTAAAACATTTTGCGCAATGCATTTTTGTATCTTTGCTGGCGAGCCATTAATGATACGTTTATGGTCCGGCAATGGCTAGCCAGTATTGGTTCGCCAGTTAAGGCACTTAACTGGATCACATGTGTTTTTGCTGGACCTGGCTCGCCAGGTCTGGCCCATTAATGTACTGCTGACTGGGTATATATATATATATATATATATATATATATATATATATATATATATATATATATATATATATATATATATATATATACATATATATTATATATTTATTAGTTTAATTTTAACTATTTTAACTATTTTAACTAATATCACAGCATGAATTAATTTCACTAATATCACAGCATGAATTAATTTTAACTATTTAACTATTTTAACTAATATCACAGCATGAATCATGCTCATAACTTATTATCGCACTGTGTCTCCAAATTTCCTTTTTTCTTATAAAAATATCATAAAAAATTTATTATGACATATATCCTTTATTAAATTATTATTAAACTTTTTTGATACAAATTATAGAGTTTCGAAAGTAAAAAATTGTTTCTATAAGTTTTCGATAAGATAAATATATTTTGATACAATTTTCAAAGTTTCGAAAGCGAAAAATAATTTCTGAGCTGTTTTTGGGATATCGAATCTTAAGAAATGTATCGATAAAATATCTTGAATTTCGTAAAGCGAAGTTCATTTCGGTTCAAAATTTACTAATTAGAAATCGTTTCAAACTTACCGGAACAAAAATAGAGTTTCAAAATGTTTTATTTTTAATCGAAAATTCAACTTTTGCAAAAGTAAACAACCCTATTTAAAAAGAAAAAAAAAAAAGATTTTTAACAATAGACGATATTTGATAACTTTTTCAAGAACTTTTCGCTATGCATTGTAGGATTGTCTGGGGATAGCAAAGTATAAAAATCCACTTTTGCATTGTAGCTTATGTTTAATGTAGTTCTTATTAATTTAAACTTTTAAAATTTATTAATGGATTTATAGACAGAGTTTTGAAGATGACTTCGGAAATTTATTAATTGTTGTAATGATTGAG